TTTCAGCTTTAAAAAAAAAAAAAAAAAGAAAGATGGGGAAGGATTTTGTACAAGGGCAGGTAGTGATAGGACAAGAGGGAATGGCTTTAAACTGAAAGAGCGTAGGTTTATGCTAGATATTAGGAAGAAAATCTTTACTGTCAGGGTGGTAAGGCACTGTAACAGGCTGCCCAGAGAAGCTGAGGATGCCCCATGACTGGAAGTCAGGGCTGGATAGGGCTTTGAGCAACCTGGTCTAGTGAGAGGTGTCCCTGTCCAGGGCAGGAGCACTGGAATAGATGATCTTTAAGGTCCCCTCCAATCCAAATCATTCTAAGATTCTATGGCCAAATAGAGCTTAGAAATGGTGAAAGATAATATTTATTACTGAATATCTTTGATATCTTCTGTAGCAGAGGAATGTCAACACTCAAGAAACACCTCTTAACTCTCCACATATTGTGATGCATTCCTTTTTTTTGGCTTCAAGAGCTTAGTTTCCACTCAACTGCATGTTGGCAGAGCATGTCAATCACCTCCTCCATTAATTCAGATCTTCACCTGACCTTCAGCCAGTCCATCCCACATCTCCCTCCATACCTCTTCTTATAAAGCCTAAGCACATCCTTGACTCAAACCACTTTTTGTCACACCTCTTCTAATGGACAAAGCCCAAGTTTTCCATATGTCTGCTGTCCCTTTCCTACCTTGGCCTTCCCATCTTCTCTGTAGTGTTATTAAATAATTTCTAATGCAGAGAGCAGGAATGTAACATTGCAATTATAGACAAGGCAATGTCCTATCTCTAAGTGCCAATGCAAAACCAAAGAATCATCATTTTTCAGAAAAAAATGCTACAATAACAAAGGACCATTTAGCTTCTAGTGTTAATGGTGAATAATCTGAGTTTCATAGACATTCCAATATGTATAAAGCTATAATTAGAAATGTTATTCTTACAGCTTTTGTAACTGACAGGAAATGGTCATAGCTGATAAGGACGTTGGTCATAGCTGATAAGGACGTTGCTAAACACTGAAGTTGTGCACAAGAGATAGTCCATAACAGGCCAGACCTTGTACAGGCCTTGTCTCAAGTGCCACGTGCCCTGTCAGGGCATAAGGGATGTCCAAAGGGATACAGAACACATCTATGAAAATAAAACCAGCACACATGTCAGTCAGCACTGTAGGCAGTGCTTGTCAAAGCATAGAAACATTTCTGTGGTATCTGATAAAAGTACAATTGATACTGACTGGAATTGCCAATGGAAGGCTTTGTATTATCATGCAACCAATGAAAACTTTACTACAAACTCAGCAGTAGTAATATTCTTACAATTAATACCTCTCTGAAAGGTGCATTGTGTTTATTGTGTATCATTATTACTTCTGTTACTATCACCTGCTAAAGGAAGGAGCAGTTGACTTTCTTACCTGCTGAAATCAACACTATTCTGCATTAACTGCTGAAAATAAAACAAACAAAAACATCTTTTGCCCCAATGTAATTCGCTAACTGCTTTCTACAATAAATTATCCACTGCTATGCTTCTATCCTCTTAGAAGCATGATATGGTGTCCAAAAGTGTTCCAAAAGTAACTTCTTAAAGAAAACCGAGTTTCAGACTCATTTTTAAAACTATACGAACAGAAGGCTGACAAAAACTGCACAGTTAATTAAACACACCCAGCCTGACATTTCTTTTTGTCATAATTCTTGACCATAACCACTTCTCAGTGGTGAGCTGATAGGAGATTATTCATGGGAACACATCAAGCCATGGGAACATACATGAGTGACCCACCCACACCCATGGCTATCTAATTTAGGCTAATATAAATGTTGTGAAAGTGACAATATTACCTTATTTTAATGAATTTCAAGGTGATCACCCCACACAGAGTCACAATGCAGCCTTGGGAGGCTGAAGAGCGGTGGAGTTTGCTAGGATGCAGAAATGCAGCGAACAGCATGCAATGAAATGGAATCCCTGCATCTACAGAGCAACTAACGCTTGCTCTTTCAAGCAAAATGCTGTATTATGTATTTTAACATTCATGGGGGGAGAAAAGCTATGATTTCAACTTTAGATTTACTACCTAATAGCATATACTCCTGTACTGGGTATTGAAGAGTATCTTGAGAGTTTCTATTTCCATAGAAATGTTTATAAAAATAACAGAATTCCTATTATTCTCCCTCTACTAAGAATCAAGGGATTTCTATTCAAATCCAGTTGTAGGTCCAGAAGCACAGAGGTAAAGCAAAAGTTGCTGAATATCAAAATCAGATGGATTAGATATTTTAAAAGAATAAGCAAATGACTGCAAGCTTTTAGCAATTAGTACCATGCAGAAAGTAAGAATAATTTAGATATACATCAAATCTAAATTATGTAGCTACAGAAATACAAACAAGTTTGACTATAATGTAGGCAAAGCTTTTAAGTAAATTTAGAATTAAAAATTAAACATTCTGGTAAACATAATGCCAGAAACAAAACCTTATGGAAATTAAGTAACGTCAAGTAAGCTCTACTTCCTTCTTTGACAGTACATTATTTACTTCATACCTCCCAGCTAGATGATAGTATTTGTTCACTGTGGTGCTAGATTGCGAGCCAGATGACAGAACGCCACTTTACTGAGAGTGGGAGGTTTTTTCTGCTCACTGAGGTATTTTTTTCCTGTATAATGCAACTGGACAGCAGGCAACAACAGCTCTGTGGCACAACAAGGCAGATGTAAGCTGGAAGAAGACATCAAGCATATGGGAGAAGAGATCAAAACATTATACGACGAGATCTGGACATCACAAGGACAGGACTATTAGAAGCTGTGCCTCTAACAGAACTTCTGACATTGGCAATAAATTTTAAGTAGAGTTTCTTCTTTTCTTTCAGCATTCTTTTTAAATGTGTGGCTAAAAAATAGTAGAATAAAAACAGTGTAAAAATATTTTTTGTGATATGACAAATCAGAATATGGATTTCATTAAATAGCCACAACTGTTCAAAAACACCCTTCTGCATACGCAATAATCAATAAGACTTTTAGCAGAGACACTCAGCACTTCACAGAACATTGTAATACATCAGTCTTCAACTGCACATCACATTTGTGTCTTAATTGTACCTTTTCTCAGTACAGGTTCAAAATCATATGTGTCCCTATTTATAAATATACACATGTACAATCAAACTTCTTAGAAACTGTTTGTTATTTTTATTTACCTATACAAACACATATTCCTAAGGTATTGCTCTAGATAGAGTATGTACAGCAAAATGTTTAAAAATACTATTCATCATTATTTAATCACAAACTTCAGGCAATTATCTGCATTGTGTGACACCCAACTGAAACAGAGGATATCGACCATGTATGCAAGATCTGCCAGGTAATACGTGCTGTAATTGGACTATCTAAACTTCCAGCAAAGCTCTTTGCAAGCTACTCCCATTATTTGCTATTCCATAAAATTCACACACAGTATTTTATCCTGAAGCAGTAACATTAAACATTACCTGTTCACCTGACAAAGCAGGTTTTTTTCTGAAAAATCAGAGGCTAAAACACGCCATGCAACTTCCACCATTTCTTTCCCTTCCCCTAAAAACATCTGGGAAATAGTTCTCTTAGAAGAAAACACACAGAAAATAAAACCCATTGCTTCTCCCAAGATTCCCAGGACACAAGCAGTACAGGCCTCCACAACTGTGACTTACCCACTGCTAAGTCAGAAACAGCAAGATTGAGAAAGAAATAGTTACTCTGATGCCTCAGGCTTCTGTCCACGATGAAAGCAAGGATCACCAGCACGTTTCCAAGGATGGTGACCAGACACAGCAGCACCATGAGGACAGCCAGCAGCCCCAACACTCCCAGTGAGAACTCAGAGCTCGGTGACTGGGTGGGCCAAGTCTCATTACACACTGCAGCCCCTTGCAGAGTTCCAGCAGTGCTGTTGTGCATGTTGTGTATCCCGGTCAGTTCAGTCTGGGAAGAAAGTTGTACCTGGCAGAGTTATCCAAAAGGTTGAGATTCACAAGGAGTTAAAACAAGATGGGTCAAAAATCCAATATACATTAAAAGCAAAATTGTGTCAGGAGAGGAAAAAAGTGAAAGCTTTTGATGCTAGATAAATCTCATTTTCTTAGGGTTTTTAAAACCATATAATTCTAGAAGAGTAATTGGTTAAGAAATACGGGTTTTTTTCAAGCTCATATTTTAAAATGCAAGTTCTTCTTTAAGCAACCTGATTCTTATCTGTAGAGGTCAGGAGGGCTGATTTGAGGTTCTCTCTTTTTATCCTCCTTCCCTCCCTCCCAGAAGTGTTTTGCTTGCTAGCATTATGGACAATTTTTTCTGATTTTTTTTCCTGTGTACATATCTTAATGAGAATTTTTGCTATTTTCTAATTTCATCCTTGCTTATCTAATGTCATTGCAATTCAGTAAGCCTGTGGTTCTTCTCTGTTCTATCTTTTAGTTGACCAAAGACATGGTTGACTTCATTGTTCTTCTTTTAGTGGGCTCAAGGGCTGAAAACTGATACGATGTAAATAACCGTATACAGAATCACTTACCAGAGCAGTCAATCAGTAATGGTCCAACCCTCAGAGGTCACCTGCAAAACTTCCACTGAATCAGTTTCAAAACTCTTAGCATCAGCCCCAGTGACATATGAGCAGCTGCCGTACCAGCACCAAGGAACTAAGTATCAATCCCCTGAACATGAGTGAGAGCTTGGCAATTCACAGGATGAGGCTTCTTTTTTCCCACACTGATGGGAAAAATCATGTCTTCCACAAATGCTTATATTTTGTATGAGTAATGAAACTACTTGCAGAGAGCTGTGAGCATTCCACAGTTGCAAAAATTCAATCACTTTTATTACAGATTCTAAAAACACTTTGGTGTCTAATTTTAGATACTTAAATTCGAAAAATGTTGGCTGTCATGTCTTTGCTTCTGTTGAGGGAACAAACTCATTAGCATTTGCCAAGTGCTTTTATTAAATGTTTGAATGGCTGCAGTACAAGAAACACAGAACTTTATTATCCGTACAAATATCTTCCCAGCATGAAAGTCCATTGTTGCCTTATTTCATTTGGAGGTAATGCAGAAAACACAGTGTGGCATGGCTACTAAGTAATACCACTAGCCTTTCTTCTGTTAGTCATACTGAAGCCTCAAGGGGAAACTCAGCAGCTTCCCTGTTTTCATAAGAACCAGCTGACGTTGCCAAACAGTTTAAATCTTGGGGTGCTTTCTAGACATATACAGCCCCACAATTCTTTTCCATCTCCCTCCCTCAACATTTCTTCTTGGAGTTAACTTAGATTTAACTTGGTTTCTTGAAATCTTAGATATCCAATTTTTCCACATCATGCTTTGAAAGCCTGTGTGTAGCAAGTAATCTACAAATATGTTTAACAGTAGATCCACTAAATGAGCTTCTAGCAGAATTACTGTGTGGCTATGATTGCATCAGTCTAGAACACAGGTCTAGATAGAAAAATATCTAAAGCAGCTAATAAACAGCTGATTTTCATTTTTTAATCAAATAGATATGCTAGGCAATAAATGCATATCCCAGATAAACATACCAAAGGGATCCACAGTAAATGTTCTAGCTTTCTTTTTATTTCCTTCTTTCCCACATTAAAAAGGAGCAGATATAAAACAGTAGAAGCACCACCCTGAACTAGAAATTACAAACAGTCCAGAATTGCGATGCTGCAATAAGAAAGACAATTATCTTCACTTTTAACAGTTAAGGATAGTAGATTTTAGAAACACCACCTTTTCATATTTCAGCATGGAAGATCTACAGATACACGTAAGACACTTAAAAGAACTGTTAAGTCTCATAACCACTTGTAAGCTTGTAAGAATAACAGTTCTCCACTGCTCAACTGTCTTAAATTAATTAAGGCTCTTCTACCTGCAGTCTCTGTTTGAAAGAGAAACCACCTACCAGTTCTTCAGAAGGTATTTGTCTAACAAAATAGCCCAATCAGAGAGCAGATACAAAGTCTTGGTCTGGTCACTGAAGTTTGAGACACAAAGAGAAATAAATCATTCTGATACGACCTTGTCAGAGACTGTGGCACTGTAATGGCTAATCTGTTTTCAGACATACTCCCAATTCATTTCCAGAATAGCAAAGTAAATACAGTAAAATAAAGAGATTAGACAACAGAGTGGCCAGAAAGAAAATAAATGTCACAATCCACCTTTTCCTGCTAGTGTTTGATATTTGACATATTTTTATGACAAGCAACTGTACTTTAGGTATAAATTAATTCTATACTCCTTTTCTTCCTTTTTTTTTTTTTTTGCCAGATAATGAAATTTGTAACTCTTTCACAAGTAGGGACTATGTCTTAAACAAATTCACAGTATTTGATAACAAAAACAGTTAAAACTGCTTCTTCAGTTTAACAATATTTTTATTTCTGAACAGAATTTATAAAGTTAAGAGTTGTTGCCAGCCATTTCTGTAACCTCCTTCCCTTCTTGGATCTTCTTCTTAGAATAAAGGAAGTTTAAACTTATGAAATGCTTGCAAACAGAAATACAAAGAGAATTGCTACAATCTCAAAATTCTCAGAAATGCAATAGAAACTTTGCAATAGTTAAGTCGTTAAAGTACTTGAAGTGAGTGCCAAAATTTTTACTTCAAAAGAGTCTACACATAAGACAAACTATGAACAAGAAATACTTGTATGACCAAACAGTACAAGACTACTACATATGCAGTGTGGATTTCCTTCCCTGAGAGGAAAAACATTTTTAGAATCACAAGTACAAATGCTAAGGTTGAACTCAAAAGACCTTTGCTATGCAGACAAGTGAGTGTAACTTTCTAAAATCGTTTTAATAGTCAGTGCAGGAATCAGCATGTTTGTTTTGGTTTTTAATCATGCATTTTGGTGGCTTTTTTTTAAGTTATTGGAATTGCTAAGGAGTATCTCTGTTGCTATATCAAACTCTGAAATAGTTACTTTGATTAGATGAAGTCAGCTTTGAGAGAAAGGTTTTGTGGGGTACCAGTCCTGGAGAACTTATAATGAACAATTCAGTGTAAGAAGCTATCAGCAAAAAGTTACATACCAAGCTGGTGGTCAAGTAAGATAGTCTTACAATTACACCTTTAAACTATGTAAGTGCTACTGGAGAAAAGTCACTAAAAACAGTCACAGACCTAACATTACTATATGACCAAAATACATAAGGTGTACCTGACCTAAGAAAGTATCTCTGACTAAGAGGTCACAAAGCTTAAGAAACAACTTGAGAAAACAAAAAGAAAAAACCCAACAGAGTATTAAAATCTATCCTCTCTAAGTGGAAGATATCAAGAGTACATTAAAAAAAAAGAATTCATCTCATCAAAATAGAAATATGACAATTAACTGATGAAACATCCTGGTGAGTTTGGGTTTTTTTGCCTTTTTAAAAATGTATTAAAGCCTGAAAGCCATTAATAAAAGACCAGAAAATTCAAGTCTTTGTGATCATATCAATAACACTTATTTTTTTTCCCCACTTGACACCAATAGAAGTCTTCAGAACGTTTTTATCTTCACTACTAGATGTAACAGTCCTATTTCAAAATCCCCAGTGTTGAAACCACTGTTTCCTTTAATTATGCAACACTTAATTCTCAGCTTTTCAACAGGCTCCTAGAGTCTTGATTGTTTCAGAACAATCCTCAAAGAAATTTTTAGTAATTTCATCACATTTCTTAGCTTATTGCCCATGTTCAGCTTTTCTTATGTCACCAAGCAGGCCCTATCTAGCATCTGACTGAGAACTGCACAGGCAGGACCAGGCTCTCCAAGGCCATACAGCACTCAGCCACAGGCTTTCCTTTTACAGAAGAAAATATGAAACTTAGAAAGTAACCTGCTGTACAGACGACTCCAGTCTCAGCCTTGATACAAAAAACTAGAGAATTCAATTACTAATACAAGACAGATATTTAATTTGAATCCAGGAATGGAGAAGACGAGAAATCCACATTAGTAATTAGTCAGCTGTTGTTTGTTGGGAGGGGGTGGGATGGGGTAATGGTTCCAGATGCTGCAATGTCCTCGAATTGAGGAGCTGAAACGCGTAAGAAACAGAGTACTTGTGTCTAAGTTCTACTTCAGAACAGCAGAAAAAAAATCACAAAACAAGATGAAAATATATCTATAGTTTTACTGAGTTCTCTTCTGAATACAACATATCTGTTGTATTGGATAAGGCAATAAGGTCCAGGTTTTCTTTGTATAAATATGTGCAAAATAACACTTTAAAGTTTTTGAAAAATAAATTAGTGTTCTGCTCTCTTCTTGTTGTCCTTCCTTATCTTTTTGCTCTTTCCTGCTTGTCGAGACGATTCTTCCTGAAATGAAAAACAAGCATTTCAAAACTGAAACAATATTTTTGTAAACCACAACTATTCTCTCAAGGTAACCCATGAGAATTATTTTTATTATGAACAGTGTTCACTGGGATTTATGAAAACTTTGAGTTGTATAATATAACCTTTTAGTGTGGATGTGGCCTCATCACGAGATACATGGAGACATTAAAACTGCTTTGCTTCCCTAAGTGAAACAAACCTACAACAGGAAAACCAAAATTTGGCCAGTCTTGCTGGACCAACACTGTAATGTTCAGTTTACCCTGACTGCCAATTCTGAAAAACAAGACTTTTCTTTGGTAGGCATTCACTGCAAGCACTCCCCAAAATGGTGAAGGAATCTGACAAGAACACAAGACATTTTAATCTATTCCTTTCTATTGCTCACACATGGGAAATGGACTCTAACAGGTTGTTTGAACTCTGCTATTTTGAAGAGAGTCAGCTAAAAGAATACTTCCTCCAAGAGCCACATCCATGGCACTAGAATAATCATTACCCTAAGTTCCATCTGTTATTTTTCTGATGAACACTGGTAACCAAATATGTTTGTTAATACACAGTAAAAAAAAAAAATAGTCTGTTTTAAGTTGTTAAAAATAGAAAAAGCAGGTATTTTTTTTGGTACTAAACCTTCTCAGGAGGGTAAATACTTAAAAATCATTAATTTCCTTTTATTTTATGTGCAGTGTTTTCAAAGAAAACACTGATAAACTGTCAAGAAGGTGAATCGTCAAATATATACAAGCTCCTTTAAAATGAAAAAAGCAAATAACTGAAAAGCGGAGGGCGAGAAATGGCAAAGAACGCTCAGATTTCAGCCATAGCTACCTGAAATACTTCCATATACAAAAAAAAAAACCCTGACAGCTGCATACTTTTTCAATTATCCATTAGTAATTATTTCCTACTATCTGAAGCTCTCTGTAGTTAGCAATTACATGCTATACATGCTATAATGCACATAGACATATCTAATAAGCTTTTCTCAAGATGAAAAAATGTTGATTCTGAGGATGAAAAAATGTTGAGAAACAAGAATGTGAGATTATTAAATGACCTGAGTCCTTTAACAAGTAAAATGCCATTCAAAGTCATTTGGAAGCTTGTTTCCTGAGTTATTTAAGTTCCCTTGGAATATTTTCCCATAATCTTTTCCGTACCAGTAATGTTACTTTGCTTGAATTCTTCTAGTCTGGATTTTTTTTTTAATGGTGTCATCTGTGATCTATAATCCTGAAAACTTCTTTGAGTCTAACAAAGCTTTCCATTTTGAAAATGCCTGCTAGTTACAAAGATTCCCAAGCTCAGTCTGCCTGCAGACTATAACTGGTGGCACAGGGAAGCATTAGAAGTGGCAGCTTCCAGTTTTCTGAATACAGAAAGAGACATTTCCCTTTACCATCCTCCCCCAGCTCCTACATTTGTGTTTGGATCAATGTTGTCAACTGCTTCTACCCTTGTGCTGCATACCTCACACTTCCAAACCAGGTCACTAGCATCCTTGGAAGTTCTCTGCACTGATCCTGTGAGCGCATCAAAGCAACCCAAGGATGACACAGGTTGTATGACTTTTCTTCTGGCTTCATCTAACAGGAAAAATTCACACAAGTTCACATGCAAATGCCTTTCTTCTAAGGGGCAGAAACTTACCACTGAAGGTACGTAGTTATATTCCACCAGTACATTTCTTGCACAATTGTTTATATGTTTGAATCGATCTGGTCCCAAGAGAATACCTCCGTACCAGCGGGATACCACAACTAACACGTTGTGGACATTCAAAATCTGTGAATAACAGAAAGAAATAAAAGTTGTTCTTTTTTAACCGAACTAATTTTACTGTTGGCACCAGTTTTAAACATAAAAAGAGTTTACTATCTTGCTTTTCTATGAAGGCCTTACAGTCAGGTCTGTGGCACACACACAGGTTATCAGAGAGTGACAAAGAATGACAAGTCAGCAGTTGTGCTTAAGTTTCCTCTCCAAGCCTCTATCCAATGTTAAATGCAAAAGTAAAATGAGTCCATGTATCCCTCAGAAAGGGCACAAAGCTATCTCATGCACTACCATTGCTCATACATGTGTCAAAAGCTTCAGGCATTACTTGAAGGGAAAATTACTGAGTTACGTTTCTTATTGTTTGATATGATCAGTTATTATTTCCACAGAACCCTTATTATTAAGCAGATTGTCTATCCACATTTTTGGAAGTATTGATGGATGAGGCTCAAAACATTCAGGGCACAGGCATTATTCATATGGATACCAAAATGTAGCTAGTACTGTTAGCATGTGCATGTTAACAACCATTAATCATCTTCATTAAGGAGAAAAAAATAGGTATTTCACTAATTTGAACAATG